CCCCAAAACCCCAAAACCCCAAAACCCCTTAACTAGATATTGAATTTAAATATTATTTTTTTGCTTATAAATTTAAATCATTATTAAAAGCTATGTTGTGCTGTGTATTTTAATCATCATCACTTTCTTTGTCTCATCTCATTCCGAAAGTCATCCAAAAACAAATCACATAGCTGTTTCGTCTTATCCGGCATAATAAATATAAAAGCATCATCTCCTATCACCATTAATCCGTATTTGTAACAAATTTCATCACTAGGTTTCTTAAATCTGATATTTAATCCTAATGATGTCTTTTAGATGTTTAGATTTACATTTAAGTCATCTTGGAGGTCTATAAGTTCTTAGTAAACATAATTAGCCATATTATATGCATGCACTGCATCATCTAAATGATCATTCAATGTCCTATTCATTAAAAAATCCCAAGTAAAAAGGGGAACATGCCCTTTACTTGTGGTATTCTATTTATAATCCTTAGGCATTAGTTAGGTGTCCTTAATTAATAGCACTGATGAAGGAAAAGGATTGGGAATCCATTTATGAATACTAGTTGTGATACTTTTCACTTCTTTTAATGAGAAATCGAATTTGGCCTCATTAATTGTCTTTATAGGTAAAACGTTATACCTTGAGGTTGTTGAAGCTATTTCAAGATATCTTATATATGGACCGCACCATGCACCATCAACATGGATCCAATGATTTTTTGAGTCATTGTAAAACTCTTAAGATTTTAATGCATTGATAATTGCAGTAGTACTGTCAAATGAGCAAGATGTGGTTGTGCCCACATTAGAGATTATTAAAACTGGAATTTTTTATTCTGCAAGTGGTTGTAAGATTGCTTTTAGTGAATCGAATTCCATTTATCCCGCTGAATTATGAGGAACCTTGTCATTCCATTCTTTCATTCCTACTGGAGGCTCAAGATTTAATGATCTAGCAACATGGCCAAATGTGTTTAATTAAAGATAGTACATGGCCTTATTTATAGATGCGTGAGTTTTATCTGTATGAATAACTGCCACATTTTTATGATTTCTGAAGTATTCTCTAGCAAAATAGACAGCTTGAAAATTACTCTCAGTTGACCCTGAACACATATAACCCCATAAATCGCATTCTAATGGGATATTGTATAATTCACCGAAGTATTTTATAATCTAATTCTCGAATTATCTTGTTCTGAGTTGATAGTAATCTGTATTAACTTATTAAGAATCTCCATAATTATTGAGTTAGTACTTTAGGTAAACTCCCATCTTTTAAAAATCATGTTGTCTTATAGGGAAACTTAATTAATGTTTCTTTACTGCATCTAGTTCTTATTGTAAAAGTTCATGAAATTACTCTATATCCAATAAATTTTTATTTTATAATTATTTACGAAACTAGGCTTTGCTGATCCTTTAATTATTCAATTATAACCGTGGTAAAATATCAATGGTCCTGAGTGTTTGCCTGTCAAACTAAGAATTCTTCTGAACATCTAATTGCTTTTCAACTTTATCCCTTTCTTGATTTTGCTTAACTTCATCTTTAATCTATAGGAAATTTTATTATCGCATAAACTTGAGAAATTTATCTACCTGTGATGTAGTTTAACTGTAAATCTGATCTTAACTAGAGTATATCAGATTTTCATTGCTATCAAGACTTAGGTTTTTCTAATGATTATCTTAGTTTGATAATGAACTGAAGATTCTGACTTATGAAAGCTTATTACTAAATGATTTTTAGTTTTTTAGAGTTTAGATTCTCTTCAAGACGAGTTAGTAATATCCCATTCTCATTATAGTGACTATAAAATATCTAATTATGCTTTATATTTGAATTTGAATTTTAAAAGCAAGATTTTAGGCTAATGGGGTTTTGGGGTTTTGGGGTTTTGGGG